TTCTAGTCTTGTTTTTTAATTTTTCAGGCAACGATAAAATGTATTCTTTAGAATCTTTTGTTTCATTGAGAAAATTTATTAGCTTTTCTAACAATATGCATAATCTTAAACTTGTTTATTTAAGATTATATGTTTAATACATCAAATGAATAGTAAAATGTCAAAAAATAAGAAAATACCTAGTTCATTGATACTTCTATGATGATTATCTGAGTACTGAGGTAAGTCATAGGTATAGTCATAAAGGTTTTTGATAAATGTCCTGAGGGTAATGAGTAAATTAAAATTTTATGAGAATTCCAATGATGTTGAAAATAATAACAAAACTATGATCAACCCTGACAATCTCAAGGCATGCTTGAAGAACTATAATGGCATTTTAAGTGAAGAATAAGGTTTTTGTTTTGTTGAATGGATTGTCTGAGGTCAGAACTAAATTGCTCTGAGCAATTGAGGGGATATTATACACCAAGTGGGAGAGAAAAAGAGATCTAGAATCAAGAGGAATGTAAGCCTAAAGGTTTTGAAGAGAGAACAGAGATGTGTGGGGACAACTAAAGATATTTATAATCTGCTTGAATCAAATGTATGAAATATGATATGTCAAGAGCTTTGCAATGTTTTGAACAACTAATAATAAAAAAAAGGAAAAAAGATAAGAAACCAACAAAGTCTTGAACCTGGCTTCTCTGTGGGCAGTGTGAAGTAACCCTGTCAAACTTTGGTTACATTGAACACCAACTACATGAGGGGCACATCAAGGAGACAACTACCTCAGAACTGTTTCTATCCACTACCTCTACCCACCCCCCATCACCTGTTAAACAGTGCAGCATCTGATCTCCCACTCTTTTCCTCCCACCCTCTAACCTATCTACACCCCAAATTTCCTTGGTCACTTCTCTTACCTAATGGTTTTCTGAGGTCACAAAACTCCTGTGAACTCTTGCAGTCATTACTCATATTGAAAAGTAAAATTAAAGCAAGTTACTAAAAGTTTTTGGTATCATAAAACACAAGCAAGTGCAGATATCAAATGAGAAGAGGAAGTTCTGTACAATGTCCCCTGTATTTAGTTTTCTCTTTTGCCATTTATCAGTGGAATTTCCATTTTTTAGCTAACAAAGAAAGCTGTACAAAGATTGTGAGTGACATCATTTCATTTCGATGGACTCACCATTAAAATCAGACTTCCAGAGAGTACAGTCAACTCTCCTCTAATCAATAGTTACTGAACTCTTACCTGGGCATGAGCAGGAATTGCCAGAGACCCAAGATGAACAGACCCTGAACTCTGCTCTCAAAAATATGTACAGGCATGTGTTTTGCACTAGAACATAGGAAGCCTCTGTGACTATTTTGGTGATGACTTCATTAGTGGCTATCAACCTATGCCAGGCTCCCTACTTGCCACTATTTGCAACACTCTCGTCATAACATCTCAGATGACACTGTTTCTCCCTGGGTGGAGATGTAGTGCAAACCTTCAAAGGGGAATATCAGAACCTCAAGAAAGCCCACATCATAGGAAATGTGTCCTGAATCTCTTCACCCCTACTCCTACTAATCCCAGTACAGAAAGAAATGCATTACATTTCATTCAGGATTGACCTCAAGGGTATGGGACTTCTGGGGCATAACTTATTTTCTCAAATACACATTCTCCTTGGGAAGGGGGACAGAATGCTGATCTGAGATTGATTCCCGGCCTTTGTTCTGATCAAGGTGGCTTCAGGGGACCTGGTTCAATTGGGAATCTGTGTGTCTAAGATGGAACAAACTTCCAGGTGGCTTATGAAAGTCATTGTTTTGTGGTAAAGGAGAACTACCATTAGTACTTGCCATTCAAGCACTGCTTTCATGAGGAGTGCTTCTCTAACATTTCCCCATAGGAACCTCATGGGCTCCACCTCAGCTCCAGACCCAGACATTGCACCTGGCACAAGATCAAATGCCACTGATGGAAATGAGCTGCATCAGGGCACTTTAATGTTTAGGTATATGATTTTTCTTGTTTACAAGAGGCACGTATCATCTCACTGGTCTCCAGTACAGGCACACGTGATCTTTTCTTCCATCACTCCCTGAGAAGCCTTATTTACAAAGCTGATTCATAGGTCTTAAGCACAGCTGGAGACAGTCACAGATTTATGACACTGGGGGCTGTCTCGAGGAGTGAGCTTTGATCAGGCAGACACTGTTATATCAATGACCACATTTGTCGAGGTTAGAAAGGCTATGTGATACAAGAAAGGAAGAGCAACTCTTCCCACTATTTCTCTCACCCTCTTTTGGAAGAATCACCATGAACCCTCTTAAAAATCTCCTGATGGAGATGAGGGTGGAGGCTTGGCAAAGACAAAACGTGCTAAGGAGCTGAACCTGTCATAAGGTCTAAATGATAAAATTTAACCATAAATGAACATGTGGAGATGAAGGAAAGCACTTGTTTTTCCAATGCAACATACTTAGATGTGTCCAGCCCCTTAATAGAAGGCTTACTGAATGAAAATTACTCTTTAAAATGATTTTTTGTATTATTGATGACCCAGAAGCTTCATGCCTTGGAGTCTAAGGATGTGCAATATTTCACTGTATGTTTTTGAGACATCTATGATCTATAGTTCCAGGGCTAACATGATGATGACCAAGCACCTGTGAGTTTCTTCAGAGCCTTGATGTTTAACTGATTCTCTGCAGCTCTAAGCATCATGCAAACTGTTCATTTTCATCTTGGTACAATTGTAATAAAGTTATAATAAACAGTGTATCTTATGCACACTGAAAATGATAATAGGAAATTAAAATGATAACATCTGATTGATACTCACCAACTTTAAAATCGACTATTTTAGAAGCTGTATTTTTATAGCTGATCACATTTTTTTTTCATTTTTATTATGAAAGAGTCTATTCATGCAAATGAGTTTCATATGAAGGATATATCTTATATGTAATCATTATATGAACATCTATCTAGTACCCAATCTAAGAAATAAAATATTACTAATTTCTAAATAACCCATCCTACCTTCTAGAATAATTCTGAATAATTATTCTATAATTATCCTATAATTCTTCATTTTTTTCCATATATGTACCCCAACATCTATATTTTCTTCTTTTGGTACTAGGGATTGAACCCAGGGGCACTAAAAACATCCTTAGTCTTCTTTATTTTTTTATTGTGAGGCTGGCCTCAAAACTGCAGTGCCCCTGCCTTAGCTTCCTGGGTTGCTGGAATTATAGGGACGTATCACTTCATCTGGTTCTAAAACCTATTGCTTGGTGTTTAGTTTTTTTTTTTTTAACTTTTTATAAATGGCATCTTAAAATATTTCAGCAGATCGTGTGTTTTGCTCAATGCTGTTTGTGACATTCATTCCTATTCATGTTCATATCTGAAGTTTATTTTAATATTTATATACTATTASATAATACAAAGTACAATATATGAATCCTTTTTTTTTTTTTTGCTTTGTTTTGCCTTCATGAATGGTTGTGCTATAAACATTTTGGACATGTCTTTTGATGTACAAGAACAAAATTATCTATTCCAGAAGTGGAATTACTGGGGAATACGTCATGTGCATCTTCACCTTTGCTAGCATAAGAAAGTGTTTGGTGAAATAATCATATAAATTTACATAGATACAACGTGCAAGGAAACCAAAAAGCCTGACACCATTCTTGACTATTTCATACTCACTCTACATCCAATCTGGTAACCCAATATTTCAAAATATATCCAGAATCCAATCTCTTTTTGCTTATCACTCTTGCATGCATACAGTTTCAGGTACCATCTTTATGTATCCAGAATTCTGACACACTCTCCACCATTACTATTTACTTTAAGCTCCCATCTTTCTCCTGGATTATGATCAATCACCTTCTTTCTGGTCTCCTAGTTTACATTTTTTGCCTCCCCCACAAAAGAATATTTTCCTTTTAAAGCCTCAGTTCGTATTTCTCAATTTTTTCTTCTGAAAGCCCTGTAATTGGCTTTCCCATTTTTTTTTGGATGTAAACCAATGATCTGGCACCACTTTACACCTTTATCTCATTGCCTACATCATTCCTAGTTGCCCAGTTTCTCCCTGCCTCACTGGCTTCCTTGTATGTCATGCAAGCTCTACCTCCCAGATGATGTGGTGGCCACTTCCTGTGTAAGAAAATTTCTTTCCCACTACCCTAGACTTCCTCATGGCTCTCATTCTAACCTCCTCCATGTATTTATTTAAATTATCACTGCTTGAAGGCTTTTCTGACCACTTATTTAAAATTTAAATCCCGTTCCTGATTCCCTCTCATTCCTTCATGAGTGTAGGAATTTTTGCCTCTTTTTTTAAAATTATATCTCTGATTCCTAGAATACATCAAAGAAGTACAACAAAAAAATAGCTATAATAATAATAGTCAACCCATACAGGGCTTAATTCTCTAGCTACTTCTAAAGCAGATGATATAAATAATCTTATTTATTTCCCTTAAAATGTTGAGGGAACGGGCTTTCTGTTTTGGCGATGTGAAAAAGGTCAATTTTTTCCTCTCCATAGAAAACAAACATAAAACTGAACAGCATTAACAAAAACAACTATTCTATGACACTGGAAATTCATCGAGGGAAACACAACAATTTGAGAAGATTCATTGCTTAACATTCAAATAGCCCAGAGCTAAAACAGGTTAGAAAGCTCATCTACAAAAGCATAGGGGTGATTGTGCCACAATGTTTTGTCACCATTTTGTTGTGCCACTTCCAGGTTGCCTACCACTGACACATACATATCCGCAGCCCACATGGGATATCCAGGGCAGAATTCCTTTTCATTTAACAAAGAAGCCAATTGTTCTTGAATAATCAAATGGCAGCCAAATTCCAAATACCAAAGCTTTCATATTTTGTAAAAGAAAAAGCTGAAGGGAAGAAAAATCCAAACTATTAAAGGAGTAGTTAAGATGGAGATGGGGCAGGGAGATGAGGTGAACAACCCTACCTTGTGCAGCCAGCTCTTTCCACCTCTCCTTGTTCTGCTGAATGATGTCCACCAGGTTGTTCTTGAAGCTCTTCAGGTCCACTGCTGTAAGGGAATAGTCTGGGGAATAGCTCCCGTCGTTCACCAAGCCTTTCGAATTTGATCGTCTCAGCACCTCAGCCACATGTAACCCCACAATGGTTGAACTAACAGTAATCACCAAAGAAACCAAAAGATACAAAAGAGAAGAGGATCAGTCAGGATATGGGATGAGAGAACAAAGCCTGAAAAAATTTATGAAACCGACTGTTGACGCAGAACAGCAGACAGACAGGTCCAGCTGTGAGCACGTGGCAGCTGTTTGCCTCCCTTTCCCACTAAGAGAGCCAGGGACTCCTCTTCCTGTACTTAGAGGACTTGGATTTTTCTTGAACTGTGGACCTCAGTTCTCAATATTGAAGGAAGATGCAGTACAACATCATGACACTAGGTGGCAATACTACCTAATAATTATTCCAAGAACTCCCTGCCTAGTTTTAAGAAATAAGGATAATCATTAAATAATAAAAGGTTATTAAAAACCACAGAGATGAAAAATGATATAAAAGAAAAACATCATACCTGCCTGCCCCACAGTTAGAAGTTTCAGTTTTGGAGGCTTCCTCTATAAGAGGAATAACAATTTTCTCTGTTGAGTCTGTCAGAAGAGAAAATGTTGGCTCTACTATGAAATCAATGAAACCTATAAAAAGAAAAAGAAAAAGAAAAAAAAATTTAAAAAGGATAAATCAAAGTGTTACAACTTCCAGAATTCTAAGATCATTAAAATGAAGAGCCTCTCTTTGGCACACTCCTGGGATAGCAAATATCAACTATAATATCAGTTTTCTTGCCCTTCGATACTATTTTAATCCAATAGCACAATCTTTAAAATAGCTTAACTGTTCTACAAAATAATCTCCCAAGCAGTGTAAGTGCTACAATTTAGGCTCGCTAACTTAAGTATATTGGCTTTCCTATTTAATGTTCAGCTTTATATGCTATTGCTAACAATAGATGCAGATCAAATGAGTGGGGATATGTTTTTCTGTCCCGATGAGAAGGGTCATTACTCTTTGGGAAAGATCTTCATTTTGTTGTGAATTTTATTACTGACCAGAAAGAAATAATATCTGAACGCCAAAGGAATTAAATAATTGGCATTTTCCCCTCGGGCTATGGGAAGGCAACCACCTTTTACATTTTTTCTTACTATGTCAGTCAGAGCTTTCCGCCAACTTGTTCGCATTTCAAATTGCTGTTTATTATTCCCTGGATGTAAAGTGTTAGTTCGCAGCATGTGGGCGTGTGCTGTCAAATCAGCCCAGGAACAGTAACATCTCTGGGAGACAGCACTAAACCTACTGCTTTTTAGATGTCAGTATTGAATGAAGACTTTCACATTTAAAGTACTCATCAAGATAGAAAATGACACAAAGAGAAAGGGGCATTGTCCTCTGGGAACATTTTACTACCTGGTATTTAAGTAGAGGAGGGGACAACATCCCTAAGATCCCAGGAAATATTTGGTGCTTGAAATCAAGGGCTTGTGTCCTTAAACCCACTTGGGAGCAATAAACTATTACCTAAATATAAAAGGATAATGGGAAGGAGGGTCTTTAAGTGACAATGCCCTGGAAATATCCACATATGATAAAATAATTAACATTTCAAGTAACTATATTATTTATAGTACATATTGAGGCATGTTTATAATTTTAAAAATTCCTATAAATGTACGTTTTAATTGACATCTTAAATCAAAGTAATGTTAATTGCCTACCCAGAGTGTGATTTTGAGTTCCATGAATGGGTTTAAATGACCAGTACAGGTAGACTGTCCAATGAGGTAATATGGTAGCAATTTATATGACAGCAATGAGCCTCAAGAACATCACTCCTTCCCAGCTTGCTAGGTGAAATCCTCAGACTGCACAACATTGAGGATAAGCACCTTCCTCATAATCTCTAGATAAACAGCTGTTGAACTTGGTTGGGAAGGAGGAAGGCCAGAGTAAGCAGCTTTCTGACCACCCTGCTGCTTTGGGGTACAGCTGCCAAAATACAGAGGTAAGATGGCTATTTTCATTTTCATCGATTGTGTAATTCAGTGAGAAATATGCTAGCTAAGGGAAGAACTATTACAAATATTCAAACCATGCAGCATAGCAATCATGTTTTAATAATGGACTGGAGTTGAATTTCCCAACAAAAATACAGATGACAATGAATGAGGTTGGAAGCAATATGATTTTGCAAGTTTCTTGCAGTTGGCTTATTTAGTCATATCACAGGAACTTTTTCCCCAAAACTAATAGGAGATTGCACATCAAGCATACTATGGATACTTAGCATTAACAGAATAGGAATGCTAATATGTTCATCGAATTGCCTTATACCTAAGAGATTAAATTATAGAACACAATAGTCAACAACAAATGAAAATTACAGTCCCTTCCCAAGAAGAAAGCACTTTATTTTGTATAAAAGATTATAGCTAGAATAACAATGACGTTTACCAATTCTGCTTTATTGAATTCATTTTATAAATTATTTCAATAGTTTTTATCACTTAGCATCATCTAGATCAGCCTAAAGGCAAACTTTGTCATGAATATAGAGTGAGTTTTTCCTAGAGGACTTTGAACAGAATGGTGTACACATGTGAAAATAGAAAACACACATCCACTTTGCCCAATTGCCATCCTTCAGATTACCTATTTGGGATTGGGCCACCATCGTTGAATTTCGATCACAAAGTGGAGAAAATGGAAGCCCTAGTTCCGCTTCTTTGTCTCCCTGAGGAAAGAAAAGCAGAGGAGTGAAGACTTAGGTGGGGTAAACTAAGATAGTGAGCAGCCTAGGTAGCATGCCTGAAAAGCTGAGTCTTTCATTTCTTAATCCAGCACTACTTTTCTATTTATATGTAAATATAACTACAAGATCAAGTACCTGAAATTTTTATTAGATGGTTTCTTTGGGAGAAGCTTCTTCAGGGGAAAATCAGAAACATTTTAAGCAGCCGTACACTTTGTCTGAGTGTTACAACCCCTTGATTGTAAAGAGATTTTTGCAATTTTCAAAAGTTGGTATAAATTAATCATCTCAGCATATTATTTAGAATTTAAGTAACAATTCAACTCATGGAATTTTTTGTTCCTTTTTTATTTAATGTCAAACACACCAGCAAAACTTCAGAATCAAGGTTTTGTTATTGGACAGTTTTTTCAACTTAAATGTGTATGAACATTTGGAAATACCTTTCTGTTTACTAAGCTTTATTAAATTTCCCACAAGAAGTAATCAGGTATACCTTCACCATTCTTACATTCTTCAGACATAATTTTAATGTATTCTTCTTCGAGAAAATAAAAATCTCAGTGATTCTTTGCTATTTGCTTTTATCAAAACTAGATTAACTGCATACATGTGTGAAAGAATTAAACATTTATGTTCGGGTTTAACAACATGGGTTTTCAACTCCTAAAATCCAGGTAGCTACTCTGTGCAAATATTTATTCTCACAAGGTTTATCACACATTGCTGTTTTCCTTTGTATTCAAGAGGATCTTTTTATGAACGAGAGAGGATGCTTCCTTGTTCCTGTTCATTTCAAATATCTCACCATTTGAAGGAGTACTCTGAGGTCTGTATTCTTCCTAAAATGCTGGCACCTGTCTCGCATCAATCCACAACTTTGGAAGTAATGCCTGGCTCAGGACTCCCTGGTTTCCTTTCAGTCCGTGATTTCCTCTAACATTTGTGTATCCTGATCTTTATACCATATCAGTATATAGCTTTGAAGGTTTTAAGAATGTTTTCTGTGCATTCCCTTTACACCATGACTCTGATTACTGGGAGAAATTTTGAAATCAGAATTATTTGGGAAAATCAAAATACGATTTGTAGCAAAGTAGCTACAAAAGGGAAGATTTTACTACGTCATGACTTAGAGAAGATGAAATAAGGGGTTCTGTGATCTCTGTCTGCAACTCCCTCAATTTATGGCATCAATTTTATTTAGAATTAATATTTATACCCATCTTCTGAATACATAGAAGAGAATTATTAATGCCATTGCCCTTGGAGTCAGGAGAGGTCACTGAATCACTGCTGTGCAAGGGGCTCTGTCACTACAAACAGGTCCCAGCATGTGCTGAACAAACTCTTACCTCTGACTTAACTTTGTCATCTTGTTCTACTCATTTTAAGATATAATGATCATAGGATCTGCCTAGTAGGATTATCTAAGATACTTTATTTGAAGCCCAAAGGTAGTACCTAACATTTAGTGAATAGTCATTAAATTTAGCAAAGAATCATAATTCATAATAGCAACAATGTGCAGCTATGTCAATTAAAGATGTCCATGATGTCTAATGCATATCCTAGATTGTTTTAAAACAGTGGGGGACCCATTGTACTGAATTTAGCATGTAATGGAGAGGGATTGGCTTTTCCCCCCTTTTTCCAGCATGAAATTGACATGAATTCAACTTTTGAAAACAATAATTTGTCAGCAGTGTGAGGGGTGACCTGGGATGATTAGAGGATAGCTCTTGGTCCACCAATCTAAATGAAAATGAATCTGTTGGTGTTGCTACAGGAAACCAGAGAATCTGGATAAGGTATAGATTTTGAAAACTAATATGCAATTATTTTTAACATGATAATAATAAGGTATAAGAAAAACAGTTTATCATTGAATAACGATACCATTAATACTTTATATTAAAATATAAATAATAATAATATTGTTAAATGTAAATAAGACTACTGACAGACTTCATAGGAAACTTAGTATTAAAGATATTTATTTGGCATATGTAGATCTAATTGCCTTTTATTGATTGATTAATTATATGGTTTTATTTATTAAATGCAGTTAAGTTTCATTTAACTGGTTTTTATTGGTCAAAATGCTACTATCTGGTATGTTAAGAATACAAATTTAATAGATTTATTTTAATACTACATGGTTCTTTGGTAGTCCCCAAATTCATGAGCTAATTTTATAGATTATTGGGTGACAACATTTACATATATGACTTAGGCATTTGACAGATATATACAGGTGGACATTCTGATAGCTGGAGTGAAGAGTTAGTGTCCTATTTTCTTCTAGTACCCTACATCTAATTTAGAATATCAAATTTCCACTGCTAAAGCTCATTAAATGCTGAAGTACATTAATTATTCAATTTATTTATAAATATTTCAAAGTGTTATTTATTCTTTGGGATGAATAAAGGCCATGAATACAAAGTTGGTAGGGGGTCCTATAGCCAGACTATGAAGGAACTAGAAACCCAACAGGACAAGTGGGTACTTCCAAGGGTAAAGTGAAAAATATTTAAAGGAAAAGTTATATTCTTTGTGTATATTTGATCAACTTTGTAGTTTTCTTTATTCCATCCCTTGATAAAGAATATATACTTTTCATCAGGATAAAATCAGGGGGTCAAAGCAATAGGTATTAAACCAAACAACAATTTATATTTTACTTGGAGTTTATGTTTTCATTTAAGGTTAATGCCTCCATAAAGCCAAAAATACACGTTTTAATATCTTAATATGTTTCTGGTGTGCACATGGTTGCAGAAGCACTAAACTCAAGTAATGAACTGGTGCACTCAGTGCTGCCCCTGGGTCCAGCACTGTGTTCTGGGCGATAAACCTGCAGGTGAGGAGGTGGCAAGGTGGCCCCCATCAAACTAGGAACACTGACGTGCACAGTCTAGTGCTTATACCTGTCTCCACAATTTCCCTGGAGATTGCTGAGGTTTTTTTCTTTGAAAGGTGATGACAAAGAGCTAGTAATTGTTTTTATGCTTTCTTAACAGTGTAAAAGGCTCTGACAGCTGAACAAGGTGTCAAATCCAGTGACTGAAGAGCACTTCCCCCCATGCATTTCTCTGAAGCCAAAACAATTTCTATAGTTTTAAATAAATGAAGAAGATAATTGAGGGTGAAATACAGAAATCTTGAGAAACTTCATGCATTGCAATCTAAGTTTTAGTGACAAAAAAGATATCAACAACAAATATTCAAGAAGTCCCTAGCACAGGCTTTGCAAAGGGTAGAATCTGAGAGAACACTAGTTCAAGCAAATTTAATTGGTCGCTACAGGAGGATGATGCTCTGATTTAGCCCCCTTTGAAGAGCTTATCTAATTACCTTCCCTCACTCCTTCTAAAAATGGATCCTTCTACGTTCTCAGAAAGCCACCAAAACTGTTAAAATGTTTAATGATTATAGCAACAAACATACTCACTTTCAGTAAAATTTATGATTTGGAATAACTGCATTTTTGTGAGTATTATAAATATTTATAGAACATTATAACTCCCTGTATACCTGATGTTTATAGCACTTTCATGCTTCTTGAAACTAGCATATTTGATTTTTACATTTTAAGTTATTATCCTGGCTCATAGCTACAGTTCTTTACACTTATGCAATACTGAAGGTTGTATCTATACAAAATCAGATCATTGACCAAGAATGGACTGATTACTTTTTTATTACTAGGAAATACCATTTATTTTGAAATAACACACTTCATATTCTAGAAACATTGAACAAAATTAAGGGGCTTAACTGTACGTAATTTAGGGTAAATCACAATCTTGACCTTTCCTTCCAAATAATATAATTTTCACATCATTTTTCTCCTTGTCTAACAAGGAAGCATTTATTTATAAATTTGTTTTGCACTAATATAGATTTCCCCTCATGTGTCACAAAATAACTAGTTGAAGAATGAAACACTTCATTTAGTTATGTGGAACTAAGTATAAAATACAAACACAATTTCATGAAAGTGACTATTTTTTAAAAATGTGTTTTTATTATGTCAATCTAGATGTGTAAAGAGAAAAAGGATCAAAATCCATCTGCTTGTACTGGGGGTTATTCTTTGGCATCTCCCTTCCTCTTGTTGGTCTTAGTTCAAATGCACCATTATAGCAGAGGGTGGAGGCAACTGTGTGGATCCGTTGAACACTCAGAGGGGGTGCTCTGTATTTATGAACATCACAGGCTTCTTGTGAACATGCTTTGGCAATGAGGGCCTCTTTGCCTTACTACCAGTTGCTTAATCAAGAATCAGAAATAAGTGTTTCTCAGGTCTATAATTCTGAAAACAATCCTGATTTCCTCTAGCTAACTTCCATTGACTTTAGAGGGAAAATCTGAAGAAGTTGCACCATGAATAGGGGTAATATTGATGGGATTTATAAAGGTGATGTAAATAGCTTGGTCTACACTGGCTTGTCCTTCAGAAACACACGGTTTTAAAAGTTCTTCATGTCTACGGAAGCCCAACTTAGAAAAATCAGCTGGGTAGATCGTCATGATCATGTTTAATTTTGTTCAAAATCTACTGAAGGAATTCCAAGTCTAATGCTTTATTCAGCAGAGTGAAAGAAAATACTTACTAGCTACTTTTTAAGTCTTGTGATTATGCTGTAAATCAAAATTCTGTTATTTGATAGTTACCTAAAGCTGAGCTTTAAGGGATTTGGGCAAAGGATACCTAAAAGTTCAACTTTAAGTAACTATCAAATAACAAAATACTTCATAATTGATGTTTTCTAGTAACTTTACCTTGGAAAAATGTAAAACTTAAAACTGAGTTAGAGAATAACAAATACTACCAATTCTTCATATCCATGTTGTGGTTTTTAGTGTATGATGCTCACTTAGATGCCTTGTATCACTGTGCTTTTCACAGTCATCCTGAGTGGGAGGCAGAATGAGTTTAAGTAAGAAGATACACAAGGGTAAAAAGGTGATGA